ATTCACACTCACTCACTCACTCACTTACTTGCAGGGACGCGCTCATCGTCTCCGTTGGCAACTGTGCTACGAGCGTCTTCGCTGGCTTTGCGATCTTCTCCATTCTCGGCTTCATGGCGCACGACATCAACGTTCCAGTCGGCGAGGTCGTCGACAGCGGTAGGTGGCGCCACGCGGCGGCGACGACGGTGACGTAACACACCGCGACGAGAAATACGAGCGCGATACATTACTGCTGCCTTCAAGCTATCATTCACGAAGACTCAATCATTCACGCGTGATACATTAATACTGCCTCCAGAAATCATTCACGCGTGATCTATTAATACTGCCTCCAGAAATCATTCACGCGTGATCCATTAATACTGCCTTCAGCTATCATTTACGCGTGATACATTAATACTACCTTCAGCTATCATTTACGCGTGATACATTAATACTACCTTCAGCAATCATTCACGCGTGATACATTAATACTGCCTTCAGCAATCATTCACGCGTGATACATTAATACTACCTTCAGCACTCATTCACGCGTGATACATTAATACTACCTTCAGCACTCATTCACGCGTGATACAATAATACTGCCTTCAGCACTCATTCACGCGTGATCCATTAATACTACCTTCAGCATTCATTCACGCGTGATACATTAATACTACCTTCAGCACTCATTCACGCGTGATACAATAATACTGCCTTCAGCACTCATTCACGCGTGATACATTAATACTACCTTCAGCAATCATTCACGCGTGATCCATTAATACTACCTTCAGCATTCATTCACGCGTGATACATTAATACTACCTTCAGCATTCATTCACGCGTGATACATATTGTTTTCTTTCAGGACCGGGCCTTGCGTTCATAGCCTACCCGGAAGCAATAACTAGACTTCCGATCGCACCTCTTTGGTCGTTCCTGTTCTTTTTCATGATAATCACACTGGGATTAGATAGTCAGGTATGCATGCTTATTACGTCGTTTGACATATCGTCCATTGATTGTGATGGTCATGACAATTTGTGATAATAATAATAATAATATTAATGTATATATATTCAATCTTTGTTCCCCACCATACACACACACGCACACACAC